AAAAAAAAAAAAAAAAAAAAAGAAGAAACGACTCTACTGACGCGTCAATTTTACTTTCGCACTTTCTGTGATTTCAGTTAATGTTGTTTATATTATGTTAGACACGTTAACATGCCAAGCTTAAAAAACGTTAAATACCACTGACTAGACCTAGCGGAAAACCTCCGCTTCACTTTTTTTTTTATAAAATCTCATTTAACATTGTCAAGAAAGTACAATAGTAATCATTGATCAGATCAAAGGAGAATATATCGCGATACAAAATTGTTTGAGAGTTTTAGAATAAACGATAATCGAGTACCACGTGCAAACTGTGTTTCCTCCGTTCGCAGGCACAAGAATATAAAACGCTTTTGTCAAATGATTCTTCGTTCATCTCTGTTAATAAAACGACGCTGTTCTTGTATGTAATGGCGGCGTACTTTGGTAAGACTGCTGGCGGCGATCCACGTCGTATGAGTATCCGTTGGCAGCCTTTGGGACGGAGCTTCGTCGTTGCTGCGTCAGTTTCACAGATCGGTCCTCTTGCAGGACGGCGAGGAGGAAGAACAGGCGCAAACAGACGAGACTGTATACCTTTGTAACGAGTTGTAGGGATCACCTGCATGGTGCTAGGAGCACTTCGAGCCAGCACGGGCAAGAGGTGACTTCCTGTCTTGAGTACTTGGGTCCCCAGCCTTTGGCGAAGCTGATGCGGACGGAGTTGATATCAACAGGACCAGAGGCAAAGCCTGAAGTCTGATTGCTCGTTCTGGTAGTACCACTGCCATATGGAAGCTGTAGAATTTTGGTATGGTCGAAGATATTCAGACAAAAGCCTGGAGGCACACGATAGACAAGTAGTGTTCTAGACTCCGGATCATCCAGAGTGGGTGAATTCACAAAAATTGGGCTCTCGGATCTGTTGTACGCCCACACACCATCTGCTTCTTGACTAAGCATCAAACCTGTAAGTAAATAATTCGTATCCTTTACTTTCTACAAAATCCTCATCTAGAAGACCTTTTTATAGACAATATATTTACAAAGCAAACGAAAGAGAGAGAACTTACCAAGACCAATTTTGCTTCTTGTTCTTTGGACAGCAGGTGGTGCAACATGATTTTCGGCCAGTGTTGCTAAGCAAAGACCATCGCCATCGTGGAGGGAATCGAAAACATTTACTGTCGAGGGCTCTACAGGGTAAAGACGACCTACTCTACCACCCAGTTCCCAATATGCTAATGTACACCATTCCTTTTGTCCTGTTTCACCTGTGTAACAGACAAGAAGAATTATTATAAATTACATATAATTACTACCATTGTCCTGACTTCTATAATAATTACCATATAAAATGCCAATGAAAACAAAAACCATAATGCACTACCTCCAAATTTTATCCCTTTTGTAAGGATATACCAATTAAGCTTAAGAAGTCATAAATCGCAAGGCCAAGTAATCACTTTTTTACGTTACTGCGTATCTTATT